GTCGTATGTGATGTTTCTATTGTTTTAACTTGTTCTTTAGTTGTGGATGATTTTGTTATATTTTTGGGTTGGGTTCCCATTAGTATTAACATCTTCGATGTGCTTTAGCATTATTTTGTCTCCCTTTCGCAGAGCTTAGACTCCAGAAGTATGTTTTAGTTTGCTGGCTTAGTCTCTGGGGTAGTATCTTTAGCCTTCGGCATTTGGTTTACGTGTCATGTATGACAGCCGACCTGTGGCTCGTACTATGTAGTTTTCTTCGGTTTTGTTATACGATGACAAAAAACAACAACCTTGATCTCTTGCTGGGTAAAATTATGTTTTTAATAAATATTAATTTTGCCTGCTGTATAATTTCAACTAGGTGACTCGTCAGCGTACACGCGGGTAAGTTATTTATAATTTTACTAGTCCAGTATCCGCGCCTTGCGCGGGATAAATTTTTGTTAATAATTTATTATTGCAAAGCTGTTAGTCATTAAAATATGATTTAGGTTTTTACATAGGTATTCTTTTAATCTAAATTAAAACTAAAATCATAGTAGACACATGTCTAATATACTTTTCGTACGGATATAACTAATCATGTCACTATTAGCGTTTTAGGTTGTTACAACATGTAAACGATATTACAAATTAGGAACATGATGTCACTTATACCATATTAATAATTTTAATTTATTAATCAAATTTTAGATCTCATTTTATAAATCAATATTTATTTATTCTTTTCATTACTTTTTTTTAGCCAAACGTTTGAAATTATTCATTAATATTACACCATTATTGTTTTTGGAAATTTAAGGGGTGAAATACTCTAACATGTAATTTAAGGGGTGCAATACTCTAAATAGACCTCTTCACAAACATAACTGGGTTAAAGATTATCCGCAAACAACAGTGGATCAAGATCTTCTACACAACCTTGTAATGCAAGATGAGATTTCTGGCCTAGATTTCTCTCCTATCTCCTCATCTTTTAGAACGTCGCTAAGGCTCTCTTTCGACCATTTCTTTCCATGTGTCTCTTTGGTAGTTTCACAACCAGTTCTGTCCCATTTCGTTTTCTTCTCTTGTATACTCATGTTATTTAATCTCAATTTTCTGATATTCTTGATTTTCTATATGTTTCTCTTTATTTCTTTCCTATTCAATATAATTTTTCATCTTCTCTTAGTCTCTCTTTTTCTTCTTAAAAACTTTTTATCTTTGTGTGAGATATGAATAACTATAACAATATTTTAAGATTGTAACTTAATCCAATCAATTATTTATTTCAATTAACAAACACGGTTGGTTCCCTCAGCCCATGTGCGTCTCTCTTATCCGCATCCCGTCTCAACCCTTACTCATCCCGTTCCAACCCTTACTCGTCCAGCTCCAGCCCTTACCCGCGTCCCTTCCCAGTCTTTACCCGTTCCAGCCCTTATTCATCAGAACATTTCATAGAAAATAAGTTTTGAGTCAAATTTTTAATAANGTATACATATACCATTTATGTTCGTAGGAAATTAAAAATTCAACAAATAAATATATGAGATTAAATAA